GAGTATGGAGGAAGAATGGAGAGGCCCAAGGACCCCGAGTATGGAGGAAGAATGGAGAGGCACAAGGACCCCGAGTATGGAGGAAGAATGGAGAGGCCCAAGGACCCCGAGTATGGAGGAAGAATGGAGAGGCCCAAGGACCCCGGGTATGGAGGAAGAATGGAGAGGCACAAGGACCCCGAGTATGGAGGAAGAATGGAGAGTCCCAAGGACCCCGGGTATGGAGGAAGAATGGAGAGGCCCAAGGACCCGGGTATGGAGGAAGAATGGAGAGGCCCAAGGACCCCGAGTATGGAGGAAGAATGGAGAGGCCCAAGGACCCCGAGTATGGAGGAAGAATGGAGAGGCCCAAGGACCCCGAGTATGGAGGAAGAATGGAGAGGCCCAAGGACCCCGAGTATGGAGGAAGAATGGAGAGGCCCAAGGACCCCGAGTATGGAGGAAGAATTGTCAAGGTCCGACCTTTCTTCAGAGCTTGTGCATCTCCATGAGCTGGCATCCATCTTGGTTTTCTGCAAAGCATGGTGGGAACCTTTATGCCTTCAGGCTTCTGCGGCTCCTCCTCAGAAGGGTGTGGTTGAGCACATTTAAACCTGCTGTCTGCAAGTGTGCTCTGCACTTGTGTCCTGTATGTTGCCCTGTTGCAAGCTCTTGTGTTGTTCCCATTGCTCTCCTGGTAACCGACTCGGCTTTGACAACACTATTCTCTGTGTTAACCCTTTACCTGACCTCCTGTTGCTGAACCCGGCCCGTGACCTGAGTATTCTTTGCCTACCGTCTAGTACTGTCTGCTCCGTTGTTATTGACCCGGCTTGTCTGACTACTCTACTCGTGTTCCCATCTAGCTCCCACCAGCTGTACGCCATTGGCGGCAGTCGTTATCGCAGCTGGGGTCACTCGGGGGCCGCGACCTGGTCTCAGGCTGCGTCAAGTCCATCCCCACCATCAGGGGCCCTGGTGAAGGGTAGCCTGGGGCTTAGACTCCGCGCCCTGAGGGACTCCGGTCTGTGGGTAGTGGCTATCGTCAGTCGCAGCGTGACCGTACCATAGGCCTGCCTGCCCGTTCCAGCATTCCTGCCCTGACAAGAATGGAGAGGCCCAAGGACCCCGAGTATGGAGGAAGAATGGAGAGGCCCAAGGACCCCGAGTATGGAGGAAGAATGGAGAGGCCCAAGGACCCCGAGTATGGAGGAAGAATGGAGAGGCCCAAGGACCCCAAGTATGGAGGAATGAGTCTATCTCATATATTAGTAGTTTCACCTTTTAAGTTGCTGCACTGAAATAAATGAACTTTTGCACCAGATTCTCATTGTTCGAGTCTCACCTGTAGGTCAATATATTTGGGAAGAATATTTTAAAAATATATTTAAAATCTATTTTTCTTCCATGTGGGTACCTGGAGCAGAGCTGCCCATATTTTAAATATATTTTTAAAATATTCTTCCCAAATATATTGACATATATTTGAAATACTACCATTTTGGCCGTATTCAATATTTTTCAAAAATATAGTTCAATCTATATATATATATACTGTATGTTGAAATGAATTTTAATATATTAACTGCTTCCCGACCGCCCTACAGCAGATATACTGATATGGGGTGTCACAGGTGCGCAAAATCACGTATATATACATGATTTTGCATATCTGGGTAGGGGGCACGCACGCCCTGCCTGCGCCGTCATTCACGTCCACGGCTGTCAATCACTGGGTCACGGCCGGTGATTACTCACCGGCACCCGGTGATTGCTGAGCATCTCCAATGGGGAGGAGAACTGTTTGTTCTAGTAAGACACACCCAGCACACAGATCAACCCTTTGATCACCCCTCACGTTAACCCCTTCCTGCCCAGTGCCATTAGTACAGTGTTGGTGCTTTTTATTAGCACTGATCACTGTATTGGTGTCACTGGGGATGTCAGTGACACCAAGTCAGTCCCCCCTCCCCAGTGTCAGAATGTCCGCCGCAGTCCCGCTATGAGTCGCTGATTGCCGCCATTACTAGTAAAAATAAAAGAAATTAAAATCCCCGCATCTATCCCGCCATTTGTAAACGCTATAACTTTCAGGTAAACCAATTAATTTACACGTATCGGGATTTTTTTTTAGGAAAGACATATCGCAGAATACATTTTGGCCAAAATTTAAGACAAAATTAGATTTTTTTTAAATTTTTTACTGGACATGTTTTATAGCAAAAAGTCAAAAATATTTTTTTTCCTCAAAATTGTCTTTTTTTTTTATAACGCAAAAAAAATACCACCAAAAGAAAGCTCTGTTTGTGGGAAAAAAGGACATCAATTTCATTTGGGTGCGGCGTTGCATGACCGCGGAATTGTTAGTTAAATAACAGAGCTCGGTAACGCAAAAAATGGACTGGTCAGGAAAGGGGGAGGGGGAAACCTCTGGGGTGGGGGGTGGGGGGCTTAAAAAATATATTTTAAAAAATTAATTTTAAAAAATATGTCTTTGAAAATACATTTAACTTACATTTTTGGAATGCATTTACCAATATCCAGTGAAGGAAATGTCAATGTCAATGATCATGAGAACAGTGAGGAATCATCCCAGAACTACACGTGAGGATCTTGTCAATGATCTCCAGGCAGCTGGGACCACAGTCACCAAGAAAACAATTGGTAACACACTACGCCGACAAGGACTGAAATCCTGCAGTGCCCGCAAGGTCCCTCTGCTCAAGAAAGCACATGTCCAGGCCCGTCTGAAGTCTGCCACTGAACATCTGAATGATGCAGAGGAGGACTGGTGGGAAGTGTTGTGGTCAGAGGAGACCAAAATCCAGTTCTTTGGCATCAACTCAACTCGCCGTGTTTGGAGGAGGAGGAATGCTGTCTATGACCCCAAGAACACCATCCCAACTGTGAAACATGGTGGTGGAAACATTCTGCTTTGGGGGTGTTTTTCTGCTAAGGGGACAGGACAACTGCACCGCATCAAAGGAACGATGGACGGGGCAATGTACCCTCAAATCTTGGGTGAGAACCTTCTTCCCTCAGCCAAGGCATTGAAAATGGGTGGTGGATGGGTGTTCCAGCATGACAATGACCCAAAACACACGGCCAAGGCAACAAAGGAGCGGCTCAAGAAGAAGCACATTAAGGTCCTGGAGTGGCCTAGCCAGTCTCCAGACCTTCATCCGATTGAAAATCTGTGGAGGGAGCTGAAAGTTTGAGTTGCCAAACGTCAGCCACCAAACCTTAATGACTTGGAGAGGATCTGCCAAGAGGAGTGGGCCAAAATCCCTCCTGAGATGTGTGCGAACCTGGGGGCCAACTCCAGGAAACGTCTGACCTCTGTGATTGCCAACAAGGGATTTGCCACCAAGTACTAAGTCATGTTTTGTGAAGGGGATCCAATCCTTCTTTCCCTCATGAACATGCAGATCAGTCATCATTTGTTAGACGCATTTCTGCTGAATTTGTTGTTGTATTCTGTCTCTCAGTGTTACACCGAACATTCCATTGTTAGACCGATCATTTCTGTGTGAGGGGCGAACATTCCATTGTTAGACCGATCATTTCTGTGTGAGGGGCGAACATTCCATTGTTAGACCGATCATTTCTGTGTGAGGGCCGAACATTCAACATCAGCCGGGGAGCAAATACACATTTCCTTCACTCATATATATACATACACACACACACATACACAGTATATATACACTGTATGTTGAAATGCTTTTTTTTTATATATTACAAAATATATGAAAAATATATAAAAAAAAATATTTTTTAAATATATTTTTTAAGATTTCTTTTAACATATAAAAGTGTCATTTAAACAATTTTACATATATTTGTAAATGCATTCCAAAAATGTAGATTAAATGTATTTTTAAAAGACTTACAGTATATTTGAAAATGTATTTTTAAAAATATTTTTCATTTATTTTGCAATATATGAAAAAACATTTCAACATACAGTATATATATATATACGACGGGGAATTTTTTTTTTTTATTTCCCCGTCACGTGATTGGGTATTCAGAGTAATTACAGCTTCATCTCATTTCTTGAACTGAATGAAATCCATGGATTATTTTGGGAATGGCCATCGTACGTTGACTTGTATGGGATCCTGCACCTACTGACCTCCAAACTCCACGGGTGATGGACGGTGTCCAGGCTCCAGTCCAGCCTCCAGTCCAGCCTCCGGTCCAGGCTCCGGTCCAGGCTCCGGTCCAGGCTCCGGTCCAGCCTCCAGTCCAGGCTCCAGTCCAGGCTTCGGTCCCCGGTATTCCGCTCTCACTGCCCATGATGGATATTTATAAAGAGGCAGATACTGAACGACCTCCCTAGTGGCTTCCATCTGCCAGACGTGGAAACAATGTAATTGCTCATTAGTTACTCCAGAAGACCCGAGAGACGTCATCCCGGGAGGTCGCATGTCACTGCCGAGGTTTCTGTCCCTGTGTCTACGGATCTATTTGTATATCAGTGAGATCTGTTTCATGTTTCATGTTTTCATGAATTGGATCCATTTTCTTTTTTTTGTCTATAAAATTCTTATGTTGCGGGTTAATATTTGATGAGGGTTGCACTCAGGAAGGTGATGTCATAGAGCTGGGGGGGGGGGTCTCCAAACTTTCAAAACAGAGGGCCAGTCTACAGTCCTTCAGACTTTAGGGGGGAGGCGGACTGTGGCCATTGGGGGTAGACAATGCCCCTGCTCAATTGAGAGTGAACAATGGCTCAGGCTTGGTGGTCAGTGGGGGGTAGAAAAAATTAGTAGTAAGTAGGTGGAGGAATAGTGCCCCATCATTGGTGTCAGTGGGAGGAATAGTGCCCCATCATTGGTGTCAGTGGGAGGAATAGTGCTCCATCATTGGTGTCAGTGGGAGGAATAGTGCCCCATCAATGGTGTCAGTGGGAGGAATAGTGCCCCACCATTAGTGTCAGTGGAAGAAATAGTGCCCCATCATTGGTGTCACTGGGAGGAATAGTGCCCCATCATTGGTATCAGTGGGAGGAATAGTGCCCCATCATTGGTGTCGGTGGGAGGAATAGTGCCCCATCATTGGTATCAGTGGGAGGAATAGTGCCCCATCATTGGTGTCAGTGGGAGGAATAGTACCCCTTCATTGGTTTCAGTGGGAGGAATAGTGCCCCATCATTGGTATCAGTGGGAGGAATAGTGCCCCATCAATGGTCTCAGGGGGAGAAATAGTGCTTCATCATTGGTGTCAGTGGGAGGAATAGTGCCTCCTTATTGGTGTCAGTGGGAGGAATAGTGCCCCATCATTGGTGTCAGTAGGAGGAATAGTGTCCCATCATTGGTGTCAGTTGGAGGAATAGTGCACCATCATTGGTGTCATTGGGAGGAAGAGTACCCCATCATTGGTGTCAGTGGGAGGAATAGTGCCCCATCATTGGTGTCAGTGGGAGAAATAGTGCTTCATCATTGGTGTCAGTGGGAGGAACAGTCCCCCCATCGTAGGTTTCAGTGGGAGGAATAGTGCCTCCTTATTGGTGTCAGTGGGAGGAATAGTGCCCCATCATTGGAGTCAGTGGGAGGAATAGTGCCCCATCATTGGTGTCAGTAGGGGGAATAGCGCCCCATCATTGATATCAGTAGGAGGAATAGTGCCCCATCATTGGTGTCAGTGGGAAGAATAGTGTCCCATCATTGGTGTCAGTGGAAGGAATAATGCCCCATCATTGGTGTCAGTAGGAGGAATAGTGCCCCATCATTGGTGTCAGTGGGAAGAATAGTGCCCCATCATTGGTGTCAGTGGGAGAAATAATGACCCATCATTGGTGTCAGTGGGAGAAATAATGCCCCATCATTGGTGTCAGTGAGAGGAATAATGCCCCATCATTGGTGTCAGTGGGAGGTATAGTGCCCCATCATTGGTGTCAATGGGAGGAATAGTGCCCATCATTGGTGTTAGTGGAAGTCATAGTGCCCCATCATTGGTTTCAGTGGAACTTATAGTGCCCCATTGTATAATGCTGCATATCAGTAAGAGAATGTTCCCCAAGGGTCGGAAAAAGGCCACCTAATGGCAACATTTGGACCGCAGGCCACAGTGATAAACAGATAAAGTAAACTTTATTTCACCCCTATAATTGCCTTACATGCTGACACCATCAGAAACATGGGGTCAGAGCCAGGCACAGATCTGTCCGTGGAGCTCAAAATGACGAGGGTGGCCTTCTGCGCAATTCCCATCCACGCACCTCTGGCGCTGGAGACTAATGGGACAGCAGAAGGGCAAAACTCGAGCTTGGAAGAGTTGAGGTCCAATGAGCAAAGTCACGGAGTCAGTCACAAGGTGAGAACGTTACCAGCCCGGCAGGTAGGTACAGAATCACAATCAGAGTCCAGGACAGAGACAGGCAGAAACATGTCCACAGAGGCACAATCAGTACTGTACTGACACCACCAGAAACATGACCTCAGAGACACAATCAGTACTGTGCTGATACCACCAGAAACATGTCCACAGAAACACAATCAGTACCCTACTGACACCACCAGAAACATGTCCACAGAGACACAATCAGTTACTGTACTGACACCACCAGAAACATGTCCACAGAGACACAATCAGTACCGTACTGACACCACCAGAAACATGTCCACAGAAACACAATCAGTACCCTACTGACACCACCAGAAACATGTCTACAGAGACACAATCAGTACCGTACTGATACCACCAGAAACATGTCCACAGAGACACAATCAGTACCGTACTGACACCACCAGAAACATGTCCAAGAGACACAGTCAGTACTGTACTGACACCACCAGAAACATGTCCACAGAGACGCAATCAGTACCGTACTGACACCACCAGAAACATGACCACAGAGACACAATCAGTACCGTACTGACACCAGCAGAAACATGTCCACAGAGACACAATCAGTACCATACTGACACCACCAGAAACATTTCTGCAAGAACACAAGTACCCTACTAACACCACCAGAAATGTATGCAGAGACACAATCAGTACCATTGTCACATTGGCCCCCGACATGTGAAATGGGCTCACCCAAGGTGAGAAATATATTTAGCAATTGGTGTTCACCAGAGCTCCTGGTGGTGTAAATGCGTTTAAAACCCCAGTGGTCAGGGCGTACTGTGCTGCATACAGATACTGGGTCATGGCCCTCAGGACTATCACACCAAGGACGTGACTGGAATGGAGTGGCTGAGTTGGTGGCACACAAGACTGCAAATGAAAGAGTAGTCAGGTCCAAGCAGACATCTGGGCAGCCACCAAGCAAGAGAGCAGTCAGGTCAATCCAGGGTTGCAACAAACAGGCATTATTATAGCTCTTCAGCTCTCAGGTAGCCTGCAATAAAACACACCCGAAGCCTCTTCAAAGATTTTCTTTTTTAGAGGGCGCACCCAGCATAGTTTTTGAGAGATTTGGAAATCTTTGAGGTAGTGGAGATCATAGGAATCCAGGAAATCCTTGGATACATCACCTTCCCCCCTCTTACAGATGTCTCCAATGCTGGGCTTTTCTGGATGGCCATGGTGGAAGGTCCTAATTAATCTGGTTGTATGGCAAATATTTGCAGGCTCCCATGATTTTTCGTCTAGGCCAAAACTCTTTCCGTGTTTAATGTGGTGCTCTAGGTGTCTTGAATACAGTTACTTCAAACTCAACTTCTTTGGAGCTCAAAAAAGTAATGCCCGTAGCGAAAAAAGGAAAGGAAAATTAGCGCAGGGCAGGCATGACTAGGCCTAGAGTGGGAAGGAGAATAGAAAGGGTTAATGATGTGCCAGGGGGTGTGGAAAAGTATAGCTGGGGGTGCTGGCTGGTGGAGAGAGAGCGTGGGTGGGCTATGCCGCACCTTAGGGTGGGGTGTCCCGGGGGGGGGGGGGTGCATCATTCGGAGCTGGACGTTGGTGAGTGAGATTCCCCTCCCGCCCTCCCATATTATAGGGAGTATTGTGTTCCTCTCGGGGGAAACGGGGGTTATTTCGGTCTTGGGCGGTTGTTGGTCTTGGAGGCAGTTCTTATCTTGGAGGTACAGAGAATGGTGTGGGACCCATCGGTGGTATGGTGTGCCCGGGGACATTCCAGTTAACCAAGGTTTAACTGGAAGGTGGTGGTGCTGCACTGCGGACGGTATGGTTGTCTCCGAGCTGGTTGGTTGCGGCTGGAGGCCTTTGTGTAATATGGTTGTTCGCAGGTGCATATCAGATCATTTTTGTGGGGTGCCTTCGAAGACCAACAACAACAACTCTGTATGTTTCTGTTATAAGGAATGGTTGGTGTTAAAATGTTTGTTAATAAAAGGCCATGTTGGCCATTTACTCCAAAATTGGTGTCATGGTTTTTATTTAAGTATAGTAAGGGGGGGGGGGGATTTGGATGACCTATCTCTGGTGCTCTAGTCAAGAGATTAGCAACTACTGGCTACAACTCTGTTGATGATTTCCAGGAATGGGAATAAATCTAGGACCCAGCTTTCTCGAGGGACATTGCCGCTTCAGGTTGGCAGTAGAGTACCACACAGAGTCTTACAGCTTACAGGAAGGACCTTCTTTCTTACCATCAGCACTAACTTTCAATTCAAGAAGAACTCCGGGATATGCAAAAAAAAAAAATCACCCATTAGTACACCCCCCTACACAAAAGAGTAAATAGTTAATACATTTGTGAAACTCCTCACCATTGGCCAGAAAAGTGGAATTGAATTTTCAAGAAGTCATCTCTATAATTCAAAAGATAACAGCATCTGCTCTGCCAAGGGGAAGGTCTAACAGCCGGGATGACATCAAATCCTATCTTCTCAGGAAACTACATTTCCCATCAACCTCTGGGAAACTATAGTGAATGTGGACGGGTGCACTAGGCCTGTACATGTGCCAAGTTTTTGGATGTACCGTCCAAAAATAGTGTAATTGGGATTAGGTCATAGGAGGGGAGATTAGGATTACCATGATGAAGTCCATCATAACCATATTCCAGGGATGAACTTGGATGGGCAAAGGTTTAAGAAGATTCAAAGTTTTGGCCCCAGGGCTCTTGACACATACACAAGTGATACATGGAAAGACAAATGATTTACCATCTTTAACAAGGTTTGACCACCAGAATGACCATCAAGTGGCAGGCAACAAGGATGATGTCTCAGAGGTCATCTGGGGCAAAGGTCCTGTCTTCACGGCAGGCAACAAGGATGACGTCTCTGAGGTCATCTGGGACAAAGGTCCTGTCTTCA